CATCATGTATTGGTGTTTTATTTGTTATTTCATTAGCATTTTTAGCTTTTGGTATTGTTTGTATTTTTACTTATTCAAGAGTAAGTATTTATATGAAATAAAATATCTATACTAAGTTTCTTTTTTTTTTAAATTTTTTCTAAAAATATTTATTTTATTAAAGATATTATATACAATATATGCTGGTCTTGGAGCTGTGATTTTTTCAGTTGTAAGTTTTAATTATTATTATTGAGTTAGAAATAAAATTAGTTTCTATTATTAGTTTTTGGCTGTTGATATACAATTAATTATGGGTGGAAAACGACATGAAATCAGTGCTGAAGATCATATTTGTGCATCACTTATACTTTATTTGGATATTATTTACATATTTTTATTTATTCTTCGTTTGTGTGGTAGCGAAGAATAAACTTATTATTTAATAACAATATTAAAACATTTATCATACCAGTTATCTTCTTTGATTTTTTATTTGCATGTTTCTATGGAAAGTTTAACTTTCGTCTCTCTAAATTTTCCAAAAATTAATATAATGAATTGTTTGTTTTCTTGCATAATGAATATACAATGAGAAACGATATATATGAGAGAAGGGTTGTTAAAAAAATAAAACTCCAGAATTCTTCATGTCATTTTTGAATATATAGCAAAATACTCTCTATCAATTACTTGTTTTTTTAAAATAAACTACTAATAAATTAATTTAACCTACTGCTATTGCAGAACGATCAACACCTAATGCTTCATTTTTTATGTAAAATGCTGTTATTAAAAATTTAAATTCTTCTTTAGTTTTTGTTTTTTGATAACAATACATTCGTATTACTTCTGGACGAATATGAACTTGAGATTTCTTAAAATTTTTTTCAATGATTTTCGATTTAGGATACACCTATATATCCATATCTCTTATGTGATTCTCAAATTTACTTTCGTTTTATCTTGGCCAAGTTTTTCTGTTTCGGGATGAGAACAATGACATATAGATTAGAAAAAAAATACATGATTCGACTGAATAATATATGAAACTTTTAGTCTATTGTACGATTGTAGATTAATATCTATTACAAGCAGAAATTTTGTTGATGAAAATATATCGCAGGATACGTAATTTTTCCGACAAGTTTTTGAGAAAGCTAAATGTTTTTATAACGTTTGACACTGTTCACTATTAACTAGTTACTATAATGAAATATGGACAAGTTTATCGAAATAAGCGACCTATAAAAAATATGTTACATTAATCATTTGATGATCGCCCAGGCAGGCAAAAAATAAGGGAGAACGCCCGACATGACTAGTCTCAAATGTCCGTACTATCATCTGTTCTAGTCTGAGACGTCTTGCAACCCGTCAGGACTAATTCTCTTGACGCACAAAGTCTTGCAACTTAATATAGACTAGTCCGAAACAAGCTACTACCCTGTCATGACTAGTCCGTTTTTTATACTCATACTGTCCAAACGCGTCAGCGTAGTAATAAAAGTCAGAGAAAAAGGAGAGTTTGAGTGGATTCGAACATTCGATCCGACAATGCTGAATACCTGAATAGTCCCAATTATTTTCAATAGCAATCCGGATTAATATGAGTTACTTCTACTAGTCATGACTATTTGTTTTTAAAGAACTAATCTCAGCTTTGATTTAGAGTAGTATAAACTTCTTAGATAATCTCTTTTGGTTGAATCTAATTATACAAGCAGCTCATTCAGACTCGTTTATATGAAGACTAGAACGATGTATGCAGCAAGTTTTCTATTTATGTCCTTTAAGGCCTCCTCCCCCTCAAAAATGTCAATTTTCGTTAGAACTGTCAAAATTGGGATAAATACATAGAAAAGTAGCCCGTCGTCTGCTCTTTCAAAATTAATAAAAATTTTTCCTAAAACCTCCATTTTTTCCCGAAATATTCGAGAATTTCAGAGAACCACTTTTTGAAAAACCAGCGGTTTCTTGAAATACCCAGAAATGTTTTTCTTTTTTTCTCGATTCTTTTTGATCTTCTGACAAGGAATTCTCGGTCCAGGCTCTGTCAATATATTTAATGTTTTTTTGTTTGAAAGAGCGCGTCAAGATGCAGGGCACCACAGAGTCCTTTTTTAATTAAGCTTCGTTTTTTTATTATATATACAAACACTTATGTGACTGGACACCCATTTTTGGCGCATTTTTTGAGTCATTGAATTTGCGAGCCCCTTTCTCCGCAAAAAAAGTAAGGCTTAAAAAAAAGGACTCTGTAGTGCCCTGCATCCTGAGATGCTCTTTCAAACAAAAAAAAATTTTTAATGAGTTAACCGAGTCTAGACCGAGAAATCCTTGTCAGAAAATGAGCTATTTTTGACCCTTGTTTGGTTCATATCTCTGTCAAACATCATGATATCGAGCTGAAAATTTTACCACAACCTCCCCACATCAGCCCCAACATAAGCTCCAAATTTCAGTCCATTTGAACATACCTGGGCTGAGATCGATTTTTGAGTGGGGGAGGCCTTAAAGTTTTAGACTGTAATAATTATTAACCCTTGCCGTACCGGCCGGGGTCATTTCTGACCCCAACCTGAAAAATATACAAATATGCTAAAAATATTGTTTTTTCTCAGCTTCTTTAAGCTATTAGCATCGCTTAAGAGTAGAGGTGTGGGTTTGGGTGTGGGTGTGGGTTTGGGTGTGAGTGTGGGTGTGCGTGTTGGTTTGGGTGTGGGTGTGGGTGGGTGTGGGTGTGAATCTTGTCTTTAACAGGGACCCACACCCACACCCACACCCACACCCACACCCACACCCACACACCCACACCCACACCCACACCCACACCCACAGCCACAGCCACACCCACACCCACACTCACACCCACCCCACACCCACACCCACACCCCAGACCCACCCTTTAAGATAATACTTTGTCGTATATTTTTCTCAACAGAGTAAATGATATGTAGCATGAGATATAATTGCATTGATAGGATGTGGGTGTGGCTGGCTGTGTGGGTGTGGATGTGGGGTGTTGGTGTGGGTGTGGGTGGGTGTAGGTGGGTGTGGGTGGGTGTCAGTGTGAGTGTTTATCGTCTCTTCACCCACACCCACACCCATTTGAAAAATTGATACAAATACTCAAGGCTCGGTTAGAAGTTATTTTCTGTCTTCATATAACTTAATTATTGTTGCGTCTCAAGACTTATGAAAAATTTGTATCTAGAGAGTTGAAATTTTTGTCAAAGAAAGTACTCAATGATATCTTTGTATGAATGAAGTTTCAGCTTTTTAACGTGATCTGAAGATGAGATATGTATATGAACAAAATACTGAAGAATGATAGTTTTTTTTTTTCATATACTTGGCAATATTAGTCAACTCATCAACAATTCATTCATGTAAGCTCATTTTTTAATGAGAAATAGCTAGATCTGAAATTTATTCAAAATAAAGGCTTCAAATTAAACGGATGTGTTCTTGGTGAGATATCGATGTAACAACAAACTGGATGTGGTAGCTTACGTCACCCTCGGTAATGATGCTTATTTGGTTACTTCACATACAACACACGCTTATAGAGGAGAGAGTAAGAGAAAGAGATGAGCACAGGAAAGAACCATAGAGAGATATGAACATAGGAGAGAACAATAGAGACCAAATGAGCAGGAAAGAGGAAAGAAGGGTCGACGGGAGATTTCACCAATATTAACACAATTGGTCTCACAAGAAACGCAAAAAAAGTCACAAAAAAAGAGATTTTCTAGTGATAGATATCCTCAGAAAAGTTTCCATATCTCAAGAATGAAACAATATTTTTTTTAAATGACTTTCATAGAGATTTAGCAAACATAATCACTAGTCAAATCAGCGATCAGCAGTTGAGGACATAGTTTGCTTCTGGGTCATTTTTATGATGAAACACCTCTTCAATATTATAATATATAAAGTTGTCTCTTTTTTCAATGAGAAAATAATGAGCATCAATCTTTATTGATAGATTATTAGATGGCATAACTAGACATCTTTTGAGTATGCCGCTCTTGCTTTTTTTATTCTATTCTCTAGCATACAATACCTTAGTACTAATCTTGACATTTTTAATGCAGTATGAAGCACAGCACTTATATAGTTCTTCACAAAGTTTTTAATTTTCTTGTTTTTTTACTTTTTTGACATACACATCACCAGTTTTCTTTTTCTCTCTCGATGATCTCGAGAGCAGAAACTCAGACAATGTCGTTTCATCGCTTGATGAAAGTTTTACGATCGCATTTTTTTTTCAAACTTTCTGATGACGGTCCGTTTGCTTTTTTATTCCTGTAAATTGTAAATATCTTTAGAGGAAAAACATTGTTTTTTATTAATCATAGAAGCCATGCGTCGATAATCGACATTCTGCTTTCTAATTTTTAAATAATATGAATATGTATCAGTATAGTTCCAGTCGAATTCGAATTTTCTCTGTAGACGTCCTGATCAAAGTTAGTATGCTATTTTTTTTTTGGTCAAAATTAAAATTTGACTGAATTGCAGTTTTGACCGTCACATATACCGGGTGGACCAAAAGTTAGGTAACCGAAGAAAACTTGAATATTTCTATTACGACTCGAGTAAACGGGCTGATTTTTTTTACCACTAATAAAGACAAGCTTAGAGAGAACCTTTTTTTTGAGTACCATTATTGACTTCAACAAAACAATTTTACTGTTTCACAGATAGGAAAAAAAACAATATACTTAACAAAGGGTCTCTCTAGGCTTGCCTTTATGAATATGGAGTGTAAACATCCCTTTATTAGTGGTAAAAAAAATCAGTTCGTTTGCTCGAGCCATAACAGAGATATTCAAATTTTCTTCGGTTACCTGACTTGTTGCCCATCCGGTATTATATAAGCTGATTTCACTTGTGTTTTTTTTTCTTTTTCTCTAATAGAAATAATGATGCTCCAAAATAAATCAATTTCGGTAGATCTTCAATCATGGTTTATTCCTATTGATCTTTTAAATATGATATGTTGTGCCATTGCTGTTATACTTGCTTTAGTCTTTTTATTTGCTCTTATTTTTGATAGACTATATCATACAATGGCAATGATACTTGTTATAAATTCTTGCTTAGCTGAACTTCTATTTGGAATTTATTTGTTTGCTGTATCTATATTTACATTTCACAATGATCTTAAACAAATTTACTTCTATGATTCATTTTGTCTTTTACTGGGTTATATAGGTTATATGTCAGTTGGATTACAAAATTATTCTTATTTATTACAAGCAATCTATCGATATATCTTAATTGTTCATCCATTTCGATTATTCTATCAATCAATTAAATTTCAAGTTTTTCTTATTACATTAACATGGATATGTTGTTCTATCTATTCTATTCTATTAGCGCTTACTAGTCAAGTCAAATATCTCGTTAATGATCAAATATGTGAAATGCCTCTTCAACTTTCGTTTGTAACGATATTCAATGTATCTTATCTTTATTTAATTCCTATGTTAAGTATAATTTTAATCTATTTCAAAATGGTTCGATATATAAGAGAAATGAGTAAACATGTAACTCCAGTTAATAGATTATTTCATGCTCAACGAGATTTAAGAATGATTCGACGTATAGTTTCACTTATATTCATTTTAATAGCACTTGGTTTTCCTTACACAATCTTCATTATTATGTCATTTTTTAATAGTACACCAAAATATCACTTTCGTATTGCTTTTACTTTTGTCAATGTATCATTAGTATTTGTATTAATTGCTCTTTTGGAAATTACAGAACCACTAAAAACTTCTTTAATGAAAAGAATAAAACGTCAACCAATAAACATTGTACCAACAGTGACATAAATAATAAAAATTAATCATAAACTTCTAATAACATGAGGGTACTCAACTTGACTGATATCCCGTTTTGATACAGTCCTATTGTAAGGATAAAACTCAATATGGTCTGGGCCATATAAGAGAGGATCTTATATAACCGTGGATTAGCCCGAACAACACTATGTTTTATCCTTACAATAGGACTGTATCAAAACGGGGTGTATCAGTCAAGTTGAGCACTCCCACATTTATAAAAATTTGTTTTCATGTTGTATTTTTGTTGTTTGAACTGAAATAAAAGACAAAAATATGAAATTACATAATAATTTGAACTATGATTCGTCTGTTTTTTTTGACGTGTTGAATCAGATCTAACAAGGAAAGATAAATAATAGATCAAGTTATAAATAGGTTTTTTGTTTTTCGAATTATTATCATCATAATAAGGAAAAAAAAACAATTCAATTTTAGATAAATCTGTTTTTCAATTTCTATCTTTATAGATAATCTCTCAAATGATAAGTTTTTATTTTGATGGATTTCTTTCCTAAACTCAAGATTCGATATGATCAGTATTAAAGGAATATGATCTACTCATTTAATAAGAATGAAATATCTACCATAATCATCATGCATCGGAAATTTGGTCTTTAGTAGGAAGGTACAAAGAAAATAACATATTATTATGTATTTTTCACATGGAGACCAAGTATGAGAACTTTAGCATGAAACTTATACTAATCCAGTAGTTTTTCTAGCAGAAAATAACTTCAAATGACTGAAATGATCTCATTTGACGTATAGTGATCAGCAACTATTCATGTTTACTTTCACTGTTGGAGACAAATTGCCATTCTTTTTCGTTGTTTTCTTTATCATATTTCTATAATGTGGTGATCGTAACTTGCTGATTAATAAGACTATCGTCGAAAGTGATTTGTACAAGTCGAACTCAATCCAAAGAATCTTGTATAGAAAGATCTTCAGAATGTAGTGATCGAAAGTTGAACATATGTTTTCATAGTTGTGTTTCTTACTTTGTACAAGATTTTCTCATAAACTTGATTGTGTGATAGTCTTAGAACCGCATAGAGGTATTAATAAGATCCATTGATTTATCTGACTGTTGACTTTGTGCTGTATATTATTGCAAGTAAGGAAAAAACCAACTACTAATAGTCAACGAAGTGATGGATTGGTAGATTTATTTAACGGACTTTTTTTGTGCAAGAGAAGGCAACTACTCAGCTATTACTGTATGAAAAATAATTCTATTTCCTAGAGAAATACGAAGTGAAAGAATGCTCATCGATTAATCTACTATTTAGTGTCTGTGGATGACTAATGAGATCTAAAGAATTCACTGAACTTTCGTTCAAGAATAATAAATAAATAAATGTGAAGTATTCATCTTCTTCTTTGTGAAATGGAAATCAATCGCACTTCATGCTACTATATTGATAGAAACATAAGTTTGATTATTACAGCTTATGCAGTCAATCTTTGTTCGGTAAAAAAAAGGTCTACAGTCGCATAGTTTCTTTTCAGAATGTGTAGCGATTTTCGATTTTTTTTCTTGGAGTCGATGAACTACAAAAGCAACATTTTTTTTCTCAGTATCAACTAGAGGAAAAGCGAGCGATGGAAAAAAACAATTTATCGATGTCTTCATTCTAAAGTAAACACTGCACAACTTTATCATGGGAAATAACAATGTTTGATTAGTCAGCTGGATTGTATTCCACTTTTGGAAAAGAATTCCAGGAAAAGGATTGTTTTTACAGTCAATTGAATGTAAATCTAGACATGAACAACATCAGAAAAAGTCTCAGAATATTTTGCATCATTGCAGTTTTTGCTTTTACTCAGAAGAAAAGAAGGAAATTCATTTAATCAACAGAATGTATAGGTGCCGCCCGTAACAACAAGATTATCATTAGTATTACTTGAAATTTATCGTCATAGAACGTTGTGAAAATGTGACTTATTTTATGTGATCTGATGCTTTCAAAAGAAATTTAGGTAGTGTATAGAGTATTCATATCAGCCTTCCTAACTATCGACTTCTAAAGTTTGTCTTCATCGCTTTCTTACATTTGTTGACCATTCAGTTTTCTCAGCACTATTCTCAACTCAAGGTGTGATGTGTGAGTGTTGATGAAAAAGTATAACAGCAACATCGAAAACTGCACCCTTTCGTTAAGAATTTAATAAGAATTTTTCTAGTGGAAAAAAGTCCCGAGAACAACATAAATCATGCAATGTTTGAATAGAATTCAGGCATTCAAAAAAAACAACCGGGTAAATGAAAAATGACAACATTTGATTTGTGCAAAAGTTTTGATTTAAGTGCGTGGGAAGGGCATTTGTTAACGTTGTAGGTAGATGTTTCTTTGTTGCAAAACTTACGTTTCAAAAATGTCACACCAATCTATAGAATTTTTTTCTCACTGAAAACTAAACGTTATTCTTAAAATGCAGCGCAATTTCAGAGGCTTAACATCATGAAATAAGGTAATAATTCTTATTATCTTCTTAAGGGTGTCCGTCTGTGAGACTATTTCTGCTATTGTATGTTGTAATTATTCATATTTGCTTTTCTTTAGCTGAATTGATGTTTGTGCGAGAAGCCATGTTAAGCAGTGACAACGAGTACGATTCAGATAGAGAATCTGAAGCTAAACAAAAAACGAATTTATATGTTAAAAACTTTGATCTAGATATGAACGAAAAAAAGTTATGTCAACTCTCCGCTAAGTATGATACAATTACGAGTTGTAAAATGAGTGAATAAAGAAATAAAGAAATATTTTGTTGCTTTGTTTTCAAATTAAGATTGCAACGGACCAACACGATTGTTCATGAGGATTTGGTTTCGTCAATTTTTTTGGATTCATCTATGGCTCAAACCATGAATATTCTCTTCCTATATTATATATTCTGAAACATTCAATTTTATTCATGATAGACTATTGCAAAACTAAATAGCATTTCATTAGATGATGAAAAACAATTATGTGTTTGTTTTTTTTAAATAAGAAAGAACGCGAAGAAGAACTATGAACAACTTATATTAACTCATATGCAGATCGAAATTTGTACATTAGCAATCTTGATGCAAGTATTGATGATGAAAAATTGAAAGAAGCATTTTCTTATTATGGTAAAATTGCAAGTGCTAAGGTAAATAACGAAATATAATCAAAGAAGATTTGACTCGTTTTGATTACAGGTTATGATGAAACACGATCGATCACAAGGGTACGGATTTGTATGTTTTAGCACAGCTGATGAAGCAAATGAAATTCTTTACGTCTATATTTATAGTCCCAACAATACGAACATTGTCTACAGCGAGGAGTCAGCCCTTATTTCAATTGTGCTAAGGACTTCAATCTTTAAATAATACGAGGAGAGAAGTAACAGTTAATCGACAATATCCTCTAAGAGCACGATTCGATTAATATGTAAACCGTTCAAGAAGTCCTTCATCCAATGATGCAAATAAATCTTAAGTTTGTAAACAAATTCATATTGAAATACATGACTGTACTAAATCGCTTCTGCGTTTATACTTTGTAACGTAGTGACTCATAGGAGTTTTCTCTCTGGTTACTATTCATATATGTTGGCATTTTCCAAGTTTCATTTCCTTTTTCTTAATATATGCTTTCCCATTTCACATAGGAACTTTCCCAGTCCACTGTTATATATATATGTGTGTGTGTGTGACCGTTCTTGTTATGAGTGGTTGTTCTTCTTCAGCTTCCTTCTCTTTCGTATAACTGAGATACTATCAACATTATCTTTTCTTCATTTTCTCACCTATAAATAAACTAGAGAAATTCACCTTAACTTTCAATCTTCTAAGATAAATTTTAGTACGCAACATACTTATAAAATAAACATTTTCGATTTCAATGTCATGCAATGTCAGATCAAAAACAATGTTGTGATCATAATATTCTAAACCGAGACATTTCTAGATTCTTATCATGGATGAGTTTGGATATGAGTTTCGTTGAAGATAGGAACTACATCCAAACCTGTACGTTCTGAGTTCTCAGATACGAGAATCCTCTTGGACATTTGTTTCCATGCTTTTTTGATTATCTTGAGATATTTTGACATACGTATTCTTTCAAATTGTATCAAGTTAGTACGAATTCATAAGAACGAAAATCCACACTGGTTTTCGGGTTTCTGGAAACGGAATCCGAAACTGACATCTCTAATGTCGGCATATGCACAAATTCTTTTAATGAAAAATATTGAGGAAAAGATTTAGATGAGTGGATCTATTTCATGCTTTAAGAATAGAACTTTTACGTTATTGGAAAGATGATCGGCCCACATAATCTGAAATTGTTATTATGAGTAACTGTCTCTAGCTTTCTGAAGAAATATTCATCGATCGACAAACCATTGTTGTTTTTTAAAGTTGAGCCCGTCAAAACTTTTTAGCTTTATAAAATAAGCTATGTAACTCTTGACTTTACTGTAGGACACATTTTCATGCTCTTACAACTGAACTAAATTTTCAATGCTTTGTGCAACATTCAAATTCGTAGTCCTTGTTTGTAGTTTCATGGCAAGCCTATTGTTCAATCCTATGGCTAATAAGGAAGCTTGAAGTTTAATGAGACTTAACATGCTAGAGCAATTTAGATTACTTGATTTTTAAAAAAATTTTCACTTATTTGTGTTGAGTACGTCGACATATTCAAGCGACAAAATGAAAAACAGGATTTTGCTTCAGTTTAGGAAGATGAAACATTTGCTTGGAACATCATTATCAAACGATAATTCCCTAGTCTTTCGATTCTTTTCTTTCATATTACATCCATTGATGCGTCATAAATGTAAACAATTGTCATACTTTTCGATGTCATGCCTATGTTATCTAGGGTATGGATGTGGGTGGAGTGTGACTATGGCTGTATGTGGGTGTGTGCGGAATGTGAATGTGCGTTGTGTATCTAGTGGTAGCCATCCCCTACATCGACACTCACATCCACACCCTCAAACCATGCATCATATGATGGCTTGGTTTCTACTTATATGTCGTAAACACACACCTCAGAGCTACACCCTTAATTTTCTCCTCTAATTTAAAACTGTTTCATTCAATACTTTGTGAAACCTTAATTTAGACGAATCTTTTGCATCTAAAATTATTTTTGCAACCATCGGATTTGATCTGAATGAAATATGAGTGTAGGAAGCGTTTATTTAACCCTTTTTAAAAATTATTTGGTTTACTTATCAAGATACGAAACAAATCAAATAAGAACTATATAGTTAGAGTAACCAATGCTCTATCAAATCATATAGAATTAAAAAACTTGTGACGTTTCGTAGAAATACACCAAACTGAAGAAAATCAGCAAATATAAGTGAATCATCCTGTAGTCCATTTATTTGCCCTTTTGAAACCGTTCTTTGATTTGACATGCACCATGTATAAAATTGTTTGTAAATGTGTTATAATGTTCTCCGCCTGCTCTGACTAAATCACCTAATCCTGAAGATTGAGGTCCAGGTTGCATCGATCAAACCATGTGGTGTCCACTTTCTTGACATATGATTAGCATCAACAACAACCGTTTGAGACCTGTGGCCAAAACCAGATTCTTTATGAATGAGAAAACGTTCACCATTTTGCAATGTTGCTACTTGACCACGATGATTGATACCCCACTCATTCAATTTTCCGGCAACATCAAATCCTGCAATTGGTTTTATTTCTAATGGTCGACGATATTCTCGAAGCGATGTTATCCGTTGATTGTATAAAGAATTAAGACCTTTTTGATTGTGTGTATGGGAGAGCTTTTAAGACAGAAAAAATGCCTGAGATGACACTAGTGCCAAAATAGAATGACACCGGCCCGAATTAAATCCATTCCGAATAATAAATAGAGTACGCAGTATCTATCTGAAATAAAAACAAAACATATTGTCAATAAAAATAATGGGTATTGACCTAAAATCTCAGAAAACTAGAATAACTACTCTCGACGCTTGTGAAATCGAATTTTTCGACTCAACATTATGAATTACATTGAATCGCTGTGTGCCAAAAAATCATAGAACAATGAGTGATTTCTATTTGTATTTCGAAGCTCCTACTTTCTGACGTGTAAAATGACACTACAACAAATGGAGCACGGAGCCCCAGAATGGTGGGAGAAAGTCCATGTCGTTTATGGTGAATTACAATAACCAATCTATCTAAATAAGTTGTAGTGAAAATCGTATAGTTTAATAGTTGACGAGAGAAACTTCAAACCATCTTTTTTTTGTAATCGAATATGCTCGTTTTTATGATTTCTTAGTGTCACATTGTTTTTATGACCTTGATTAGTTGAGGCACAAAACATGTTCTAACATCTCACTTAACATAATTGATATATTTATTTGAAACTAATAAAATATTACACAAAAAATCTTTCACGAACTGGTTTTGTTGTGAAAGAACCTTGCAACTAATAGGTTATTAAATAAAAATGACTATTTTTCTTCTAGTGTCAATTCTCACTTGGCGAAGCATTTAATTCATACTTCTTTCATTTTTAGTCTATGGCTTTAGATCAGAGAAAAACCTTACCATCAACCGTATAGTTGTGAGTCAAGTACCAAGTATAAACTGTCTGTTCTTTACTTGTTACTGCTCGTACATTGAAAAAAATCAGCTCTCTTATATAGTATTTTGTTTATCATAAATCTACGATATTTGTGTGCAACGTAATCTGATCGGAGGAAAAAGTCGAATTTCGTGTTGAAGTCATTTATCATTGGTACTAGATTGGGGAAGAACCAGCATATTACTTCCTCCATGATGTGGCGAATATAATACTATAGTTTTAACTCATACATATATAGGTGAAAATCAATCCATTAGATAACCTTTGTCTCATGACATTGTATAGAGTATGAAAACAAAAAATATGAAACTTCTATTCATGAGTCAGACTAAGAGGAAGAAAGACAAATCACTTGTTGATACAAATAATTGCATCTCTCCCAGGACGAGCATTACGATAGCCGTAAACGATCGTATACGACGTC